GGCCCTGAACAGCGCTGATTTTACACTGTTTTCAATTGGGCTTTAATTAGTGGACTGTAGCCAGATACGATACAAGGGTTTGGGGTCACAAGTTGAAACCCCGGGTGTTTTCGATTCACTAAAGTGGTGCACCCTGTATATACTATGGTGTACTATTTACGACAAACATTTCTCTCTCTCTCTCTTTAGCCTCCCTACAGGCGACACAATTAGACGGCACGACGGCTCCCTTGCGTCGTGCCGTCGGGTCGTACCGTCGCCTTCTTGCCGGTACGTTTGTACACACACGACGCGTTGCGTCGTGCTGGCTCAGGTCCTTTCCATGTTGAATTTTTTTTTCCCCGCTTAAACGTCGCCCCTTCCGTCACGCCGCGTATACGCGTATCGCATTGTCTATTATGTCGCCTGAAGCACGACGCGACGCACGACGCCACGCGTCGTGTGCTGTCGCCCTTTGCTTCATGGTGTTTATAGAGGGCGCCTTCGAGTTCTCGAAGTCGGGAAACAGGTGTTTTTTTATCACCCACGCATGGCGCGCTTTTACTTCGCTCGCCATGAATATCATGATGAGTCGCCATTCTCTCGCCTTCTCCAAAGCTGAATGAAAGACTTTGGCTAGATAGCCTAGGCCTGGAGCCTTAGAATGCACCCACGGACACTAGAATTTTTGAAGGGCTCAAACTTAATACACGTACATAGCATGAAGGCAAGGTGGCCATGCATGCTAATATTTGCTATTGCTAGTGTCGCAGTGCTTCGCGTCAGTCAACGTGATATGCATACATGCACCAAATAAGATGGCGATCGATACGCGATTGAGTACTGCGGACCACCTGGCTCTGTTCAATCGTTGAGGGGGTACTTCTAGTCGAGGCGGATAATAGAGATCAGTGGTACAGACCAGCAAATAAAGCTGCCACGGACAACAGTGATAAATAGCCCCACTTATAAAAATCAGTTAAAATACTCACAAGTTTCACAGGTGGTCAAGACATATATCAAAATAAAGCTCCTTTCCTTATTTTCCATTTTCCTTTCAATTGGCCTAGTCAATCTCTTAAGTGTTTGCTTTTTATTCTTGAAAGTATAAATATTACGCACCATTTTTGAAATGGATAAATTTCATCAAAAATTTTGACCGATTTTATTTTCAGCTGAATTTAAGTTGTTTTATTTTTTCGCTTGGTTTCGTTTTGTTTAAAAATTCCCCCTAAGAAACGATATTCATGTAGGTTTTACAGTTGAAATTATCCGCATTTTTTAAAGTTTGTCTACTTCTGAGTTCCACAAACGGAAAAATGCTTGATAAGAGGAACCGAGAAATTTACCAAAAACTAAACACGTGTCCGATCATGGAAACGCCACGGTTGCCCCCGATCTCTGTTGCGAAAACGCTGGTACTAGTAGTCATTCAACCATTGAATTCAACCAATCAAATTGCGCCTTGCACGTTGTTTGGGAATGGCGGCCATATTGAATTCCGCTCACCGGTGCACCCAGAAGTCATGAAAGTTGGAAGATTTCTACAGGCAGTGTGTGGATAGAGTTTGCTGTTTCGCAAATAAAGGGCGATCTCAAGTATTAACCCAAATGATGTACACATTTTGTGTACGAGACAAGGAAAGTACAGTGTATGCCGCTGTCGCTGAAGTGTTGGAAACCAAACCACATTGGACGGAACGCAGACGTGCTGTCACTGTCAGCACGGTCAGTGGGGACAGAGAGCGATCCATTGCCGGTGGTACTCTGCGTGTTAACCTGGTATTAGGGGAGCGGAACAGGTTGCCTTTCGGGAAACTAGGTGTGTTTCTTTGATAGGCCTGTAGACAAATTTCTAGAGGTAGCCTAGTTTGGTTATTTAAGTTGTACATCCCTATTGCTACTGCAAAACAGGCTAATACTAGCCTAGTAATAGTATAATTTATAAAGGCATAGGCCTGCCGCGGTGCCGCCTAGGCCTACTTAATTTCATAGGAAGGGAAAGGAGCAAACATTGCCCCGTTTCCCTTCCCATAGTGCCTTTCCACAGTTGTGCGGTATTAGCAATAAGGCTTATGGAGATCCCCAGTAGTAGGGCCATGTAGTAGGCTTTATTACAGGGCCTAAACCTTTTTGACGTTTACCCCTAGAACCGTGTGGGAGCTGGGTGGAGGTCGGACCTCACAGTTCTGGGGGTATTCAATGTTTGCAAAAGGCTTAGGCCTAAGCCAATTTCCTGTTCTGTTGCCATGTTGATTTTAGTGCCCCCCCCAAACAAGTACGTGAACGAAGCTAGAGGGGAACAAATCGTCTACAGCAATAACAATTGCGAGCATCTATTTGCCAAATGTTATGCAACGTTGTCATAACATTGTTCCCCTGAGCATGCACACATGAAACATGAAAAAGGTTTATTTATCACAAGTTTGAATAACAACAAGCAATGCATCCAATGGAAGAAATGTATCTGCGAAACATTACTCTGTTTCCATTTGATTACATATTCCAATTCAACTCATCCTCTTTTTATAGCGTGTTACTTTGTAGATTTGGGCCAGGCCTAAAGATAGTTACAAACTTAGACATGTATGTCAAGAAAATTTGGGATATTCCTTCCAACCAAGAAAGCTGGTTTTTGCCTTAGTTAGACTAGTATATTGGCCAATCAGAACCCAACCCGAAGCTCATTTATCCCCCATTGAGCATTTATTTTCTCTGGTAGTGCCCTTTTGAAAAAGACAAGGACGATTTTTGTTCTGCTTGCAGACTGTTGCAAATGTAATTTGACATTGTTTCTTGCATATCATTGCATGCATCTATGATTTGATGAGCAGGTACTTGAGAATTTCCCTGAAGAAAATTAAATTGATTTGGGTCTTGCTCACATCCCCACGGGTTCATGCATAAAATGCATTGCTGGTTTGTTGTCCAAACCCATAGTCCATTGCAAACATCAAACCCAGTAGGGTTTGGATTGAATTCTGTCTCCCCCAAAGGAGTGATGATTGCATTGCGTATTTCATTCTACAGAACCATTGAAAGTAACAGCGCACAACATTCTGGTGTCACCAGAACAGAGCTACAAGTTTTTGGCGACTGATCGGTCAAAGCAATGCACTTACTAAATGTTAATGCCAGAGCAGGACTGCAGTGACATCCTTGTGTCCTTCAAGAAGTTTCCTAGTGAAACGAATTGGGTCTGACAAGCAGGTTTACCTTCCAAACGCTTTTGCTTATGTTCAGCATGATACAGTTTCTTTTGCATTGACAGTGTAAAAAAGTGATCTGCATGCTGGCCTTATTGTAAAGTTAATTATTATGGATTCGAGAAATGACATACTTCAAAAAAGCTAAGGAACTTCAACTACATTCCCTTTCTAAGTCTTCACTCAGAGTTATATGTTTCCTTGATCTTGGTTTTTACAGGGCATGAACCTGGCCTAAAGCAGTTGGTGAATTACTACCGAGGTTCAGCAAGTCTTTGCCGCAAAACCAAATTGGTATCAATTCTGAAAACATCCTTACAGTGCAGTTGCAATGATGTGGACTGGTTACCTACATCGTTTGTGATCCGTCCAGCCAACAACAATAATGCAAGTAAAGTTAACCACTGCAGCACATCTCGTGACTGGTTAAGGCAGTTGCGATTAAGCAAGCTACACTCTGATGACAGGGAAGAGTTTCAGGCGTGTTGGGAGAAGACAAGGCAGGCCAGACAGGGAAGTGTCTGGATTGCAAAGTCATCCTCTGGAGCCAAAGGTATGAAGGTTTGTTAGCTTCCCAGTGAGGTCAACTGGTCCACCTGCGTAGCTTGTTCATGAGAGCCAACAGAGCACATCCTGTGCTTGACCCATTTTATCAAGTCAAGCCATACAATATAAATGATGTAAAGTACTGTATGCATTGAAAGGCCAATATTCAGTTTATGCAATTTACAATAGTGTGGATGCTACCAAGGTTTTGCTGGTGCACTGAATAGTTGGTGTTATGGTAGGAACCCATTATTGGTACCAGTTGCATAATCAAAATACGATTGGTGTTTTACCAGGGACCTTGAAGTACCCACTGAGGTTTCTCACCCTATTGCATGTGAAAGACTCATGGTACAGTATGTAACTTTCAGAAGCTTCAATAAACTGTATCCGACCAGCCCCACGTCAGTTGGACGGTGGGAGGAAGGAGAAATGGTCCCTTAAAGTGGACGAGCACTTGGGACATGCCTATCCAAGAACAGATATTGGCCTAAAGCAAAAGACATGTACATTATATGTCCTAAACAACAATTTATTCCCATATACTATACAGCAGGATGGCACAGTATAATACAAGGAGATAACAAGTCAGATATCACTTCATGTAAGCAACACAGTACATGTACAATGGAAAATGCAAACTCTATTTTAATAAAACAGTCATTACATTATGCCCCCAAAATTACACAATATCTTTAACAAAAGATCATAAAAAAAATACAACTACTGAAAGTTACCTTTTCCCAAGACTCGCAAGAGCCATGCTCCCTGCAAAATCAAAAGACATGCAGAGAGTTTTAGAAAGGTTCTACACTTTTTGAAACCCACAGAAAGAGAGCATGTAGACACTGTGTGTCTGGGAAGTGCCAAAAAGTAAAAACCTTATGTTAATTGCCTCCGTGACATGCATATGTAAAAGTATTGGAAACATGAGGGCGCCCTTACTCAGGCATGGTTCCTTACAAAACTGTGGAGGAGAAAGGGGCCAGAATGTTCATTTTGGACTCTTAATTTTTCCTTGAATGTCATGAAAATGAGAGATGCTATAGCTAAGGGACATTCACATTACTCTCCTGAATGTGTTTATGAACTGAAAATGACCTGAATGGGACCATTCCGGAATCAAATTGTCACTGTTTTCACAAAGAAAGTAGTCCTCCATAGATTTAAAGGGCAAACCGTGGGCAAAATCCATTTTACCATTTCCACGAAGAGACAAAAGTGACTCAGGAAATGTGTACATACTGTATGTAACAATTGCACCTGGCAGTCACCAATACGAACCGTTTTCACGAAAAGACAAAATGCACAGGAAACCCAGCATTTTCACAAACAGATAAATGCGTTTGTCTACAAAATAAACAATTCTAATTGATTCCTATGAATTTGCTTTTATGGTTTTTGTGTCATTTAAGATCTGATCTTTCATTAGGTAGCTTTTTCATTGTTAAAGGAAAATCAAGTCTTCGGGAAATGATCGTTTGCAAAAGAGTCAAGTGACCAACTGTAAATGCCATTTTTCTCAAAACCTGCATCTTACTCTTTGGATGGACTTTTGTCTCTTTGTTAAAAAGGTGATGAAATGTTTGAGGCTTGCAGTCACACTGTGGTGGTGGATTTCCTTTGCAACATTTTGGTCTCTCTCTATAAGAGGTCAGCACTGAGCTTGGAAGATACCCAACATTACATATTTACAACATGTCTCACATGGGGGCCATGAGAGTTTTGCATTAACCTACATTAATCTTTTCCATGACAGGTAAAGGTATACTGATATCGCAGGATCCTGCTGAGTTGGTAGCATTTGTAGATAGTCAGACAGAAGCTCATGTTGTTCAGAAATACATTGAGAAGCCATTGTTGTTGACTGGTGATCGGAAATTTGATATTCGGTGAGTCAGTTGCTTGTAGCCTTTCTGTGCAAAATATATTTGTAAGTTTCATAGCCACATATCTGTGGTGATGTAGCGCCCCTGATATGGATAGTGCTTTGGGTATGATAACATTTGAAAGGGTGGTAGTGTGATGACCTTTGGATTTTGGAAATGTTGTTTTGTCAATCCAAAAGATGTTCATTTGATTGGTTGAATCAGATACGTTTTACCTGAAAATTTGTTTCATCGAGCTGAAGTAGGGTTGACATGTTGTATTTGGCGCAAATTTTGATCTTTTGTGTGTGCAGTGACATGCCTTTGTCAATACTTTGTCACTGCAAAAGGTATTTTGTGTTAATGGCAAGATGTGTGAAAACCAGTTGTTGGACTAAATTTCTTTTCCAGATGTTGGGTGTTGCTTGATCACGAGTACAACATTTTCATGATGAGGGAAGGTGTCTTGAGAACGTCATCTGAACCGTACATCGCAGATGATCTCAAGAATGTTACAAGTCACTTGACAAACCATTGCATCCAGGTTGGTACAAGACTTTTCTGGTTATTTTCTGGTGCTCTTGGGGTTTCCTTGGATGAATAATGAGAGCTGAATTTGACATGAGGAAACTTTTATCAAAATGCATGCCCTGATTTGAAGGAGTTTCTGTAAATGTCGTATCCAAGCATTTGAAAATTCAAACAAATTTAAATGTAGATGACCTTTACTTTCTAGCTCTAATACTAGTCAGTGTTTTTGTTTGATTGTAAATGGTTTAATAAGTGCCAGAAACTCGTACTGAATCACAGTATTCTAATCTGACTCAATTCCCCAAAGATATTGCAGGGTAACAGTTATTTCCAAAAACCAGTAGGTGATCCACTGATAATATTCAGATAACTCAATATTATGCAGACTCCATAAAGACTAATGAAAGCCATGTTTGATTCAATATTTCGTTCTTTATTCAGAACATCTTCAGGAATGAATGATCCTGAAGATGTTCTGAATAAAGAACGAAATATTGAATCAAACATGGCTTTCATTAGTCTTTATGGAGTCTGCATAATATTGAGTAACAGTTATTTGTAAGCTAAAATAGCTTGCTTGAAAGAATTTCATTTTATACATAGGGTTGGTACAGTGCCAGATGCTCTTATTAAAACATTCCAAGTAATGCCTGCCTCAATCATGCAGACATTTGAATTCATTGTTTTCCACAGGAAGCATGCGCTCAAAATTACGGCAAGTATGAAGATGGAAATGAAATGTTTTTCAAAGAATTCAACAGGTAAGCAACAAAGTCTGTTTTAAAACATTCAGTCAACAAAAAAAGCGTTTCCTTTCAGTTTCTGCCCATAATTGGTTTGTGTCTTGATCAAAATTTAAAGACGAACATTTCTACCTCGTAAAGTTCCATCAGATGATTAACCAGTTGGTTCACGTCTTGTATATGTAAGAGTGGGAAACTGGTATATTGTTCTGTCTCACTGGACATGTTGCAGATATCTACAGGACCGATACAACAAAAGCATGGAGGACACCATCTTGCCACAAATACGTCACATTATCAGACAGTGTTTGACAGTGATCAAAGAGGCAAGTTAATGCTTTATACAGATTACAAAAACCTGTGATGCTTTTTCTGGGAGTCGGTGCATAAGTCCAACACTTCATAGAATTAACATTCATAAATACCTTGGACAGTTTCCCTATTCAACACTGTGTGTTAACATTTGATAATGCCCGCTGAGATTTGATAGTGCCCGCTGTGTAAAAACATTTTGGCAACTGGATACGAGACGGTAAATCCATTCCTATTGGTCATGAGTCTGTGTGTGTCGCAGCACGCAGAACGTGTGACGCACCTCCAATTCCATATAAGGAGCTTTCTTCTGGACCACCCACACACGGAATACATCGTAAAATGGATGGGGTGGCTGGGAAAATGAAAGTAAAATTCTTGAACAAAATCCCTGGAAATTTATCTTGACTTCTTTTGATTCTCTGACTAAAACAGTATTTATGAATGGGAATAAATATGTGCTTGGTCGGTCTTAAACTATCACTGATAATGCCCATGCCTGTGGCTCAAGCAATACTTGTGTCCATTCTCCCAAGCCAGTCTGAAATGTATGTTTAAGATCGGTCAAGCACATATTTATTTCCATCTTTAAATTTACTCTTATTTCTGTCCACAAGTCTTAGTCTGATGCTTCGTAAGTCCAACATTTCATTTGTCTTGCATCTTTGTCAATGAATATAACTATACAGGCATTGCATAAACTGTTAGTCACCAAGTGGAATAGGTTAGGGATTACGCTTTCAGTTTTGTACAAAATTGTTCAAATGTCTGAGTACAGTGATTTCAAAATCATGAAGTACGTGTATGAGTAGATCGACCACTTCTTGGAAAGGGTAGGTTGAACCCAAGTACATGCACATCCTCTAACACTGGAAAAAAGGGGGCATGCACTCTTATACATGTAGGTAGGTGACACCTTTGTTAAAATCCAAAATATTGGGACTGCCATATAATCCCGGAATATTTTGAAAGAAAGACAGCCTCAGTCAACCTGTAAAACATGTTGGCCGAGAATGCTGTAGGTTTTGAGAAAACAGAAATTTTGTTCTCTTTTTTTCGTGATGATCAGTAGACCATCGTTTAACAGTTTGTTTCCCTTAACACATCACATCCTTTAACAGTGGCCATTTTTATCTGTAGTGGGGGCAGATGTTGTGGGAGTCTGCATGAAAAGGTAATACTAACAGGTGCTAAACACATACCAGTAGAAATTGACCAAACACATTGTGTAAACTGAAATTAGAGGACATTGAGTGTAAGGTACGAAGTAGAATATAAATTGGTTCCCTTTGAAGTTAAATTTTATTTAAGGAAAGGATTTTCTTAAAGGAATGATGATGAAAACTGTCATCTTTTCCCCCCAAACTAAGTCCAGTGCCTCATTTGACACTGGACTTATGAGGCATCAAATCTATTACCCTCAATCAAAAAGTCTAATGCCTCATAAGACCAATCCATCATAAAGCCCATGCCTCATAATGACCAGATTTTAAACTGACGAGACATCAGACTCATGAGGCATCGGACTTATGATAATGCTCCCTATTTTCGAATCATTCATTTGTATGAATAATTACAGTTCGTAAAGCACATACTATCTGAACAAGAATGCACAAGTCCAGTTTAAAAGTAACAGTGGCTGGGGGGTTCTACTATCCTCAATCCAGCAAAATCCTCCAAAACATGGGCGAATGTTTGAGGAAAGGGAAGTTTCTGAGCAGAAAGCTAAAGTATTGTATGTCGGTTAAATTTAAAAAGAAAAAGAGACCGATCCTCACACCTTGAGTCACATCATATATTTGTGTTTCACAATGAATGCTTTGCTGTTTGTATTTATAGGAAGTCAGCACAGAGGGCCTAGGATATCAGAGTTTCCAGCTGTTTGGATTTGACTTCGTCCTTGACATGGATTTCAAAGTTTGGCTGATTGAGGTCAATGGATCCCCGGCGTGTGCACAGTTAGTAGAAGTCTTCCACTTTGTGTTCCGTCCCCCCACCCTAGCAGGGGACTTTGTTCCCCTAGTGCCTCACCCCACCATTTAAAATTTTGAAATGCATACAACTTGTGTATAAACCCTAGTTAACATGTCGACTGCTGACTACGAGTATACTCGTAGTCACAGGTGTGCCGATCTGCCACTGAGTATACTCGTTGGAAATGAAAGGCTATCTTGTTTGTAAGTGTGACGTCACTTCAGGACATAGAGTTACATGCATTGTTTGCCATTTACATGGAACTATGGAATCGGAAGTTAACGTGCAACTTCAGCGATCATCCAATGGGGGCCTGCAAATTGTGGCGCGTCCACCTTGGGACGAAGTGACTTACAAACTGGATTGTAATGTAAATTGAATACACTGGCATCACTGAAGAACACAACAGATAGATACCTGATAGATACCTGAAAGTTACTTATTAAATATGCACGCATGCGTACAATGCTTGGCAAGTGGGAACACCCTTTTAGAATTATGCGCGGGGCAGTCAACGTGTTAAGTGGCTTGCAGTGTCCCTGAAGAAATATGTGCACCCCCCAAGAAATGTCACCCTTGTCATGCCACTGCACACAGGTTGTATATTTAGGCTCTGACTTTTTTTTTCTTTTTTCCTTGATCTCAGTTTTGGGCTTTGAGAACAAAATGTCAGGTAGCCCCCTGAGTTTCAATGTTTGGTGTAAATTGGGCAGAATCATATTTGATTTTGGTTGATTACTAGGTCTCTCACAAATGCTGTCAATTCCTACAGCTTGCCATGTGCATCTGCAGTTTGGACTTCAAATTTTCGTGATGTGCATCAGCAGCGTCGTATTTCAAAGATATCTGTATCAACATGCGCGTATGTATTGGGCGTTTGCACACCACGTGCACACCCACCTTTTGGCACTGTATGCATTTGTAATTTTCCTATGGAGATGGCGTCCAATGAGAGAGATCTATAACACAAGTAAAATATTGAACAAGTTAGGCTGTTTTATATTGGCGTCATTCAAACTCCATGGGCAACTCCACTACAGTCGGTCCGAGAAACAGTCGCAGATTTAAAAACTAATGTCCAAATTTAATTCCAAGTCTTGTCAACTTTTGAAAAGTGGAAAGAAGTCCATGCATACTGTCTGAGGCAGAAAGGTATTTCCCCCAAATTTTGTTCATGAGAAATTCACATTGTTTTTACAATAGGCGGCTGAAGTCACAGTTAGTGGAGGGTATCATCTGCCTCGTTATTGATCGGGTATTTCCACCACCATCAGAGCCATCCTCTCTAAACCAAGACTCAGAAGACGCATCATCCATCCAGCTGGCTTCATTTGAGAAACTCTGATTAGATCCTGGTGATTTCTTCTGCGTCTCTCAGCTCCTCACCTGGACAGCAATATGGGTATGCTCATCGTGTAGATTGCCTTAGTGCAATAGTTTGATGTAACATTTTCAAATTTGTAATGACAGAGTGGGATTATGTCATGCGTTGTAATTCTTCCTAGTATGTACTTGGCTAACAAGGTCCTTGGGACTTGATAAATTGCCAAAGTCACTGATGTGATTCCTCCTTTTGGCCATACGTATAAACGATACCTCAGCTGAAGTGCTTTGCCCACAAAGGACTTCAGCTGATGATCAGCCCCCAAGCATGAGGTCAGCCTTCAGGTCATACCCATTTCCTCCCTTATGCAGTATTTCAGTGGCTGTTGGACCATAGCACGACTTTTCTCAGGAAAGACTCTTTCCAAGGAAGATACCATCCTTCTCATTCATGCCAAAGAAACATCTAGCGCCAAGAACATTTATGCTCCCTCATCAGCCCATGGTTTGTCTGCACCGACAGCAGCGTCCTTACAACTGGGAAGTTGGACCTAACCACAGAGGAGAAGTACCCGGATGAGATGGAGGCCAGTGAGACTTCAAGATTCCTTCTAATTCCCCCCCCCCACGGATAGTCATTATTCATAAGTAACCATAGGTTCATAAACTTCTCACACTGGTAATACCCCTTAAACTTGTACTCTCCTGTTTGGATACTTAGAACCAGAGTGATTAACTGAATTATCAATTATCCTTAGCTACTGCCAAACACTCAAACTAATGTTCTTTTTTCTTTGTCCACCTGTTGCTCCTTCTCAGCCCAACTTGTCCCTTGATGAAATTAGTCTGTGTCGACCAATCGTGTCGTGGACCAACCAACTCCAAGCACAAACACCTGTGGTTGTTGTTAACCAATAGGATTTCAGCCAGACCGGATGGTGAGCAATCGTCCAGACTTTGTTTTCTGCAAAATCATTAGGCGTTGATCGTGGTTCTTCAACAACTGCCGTCCGAATACATCACCACCACCATGGAATGTTCTATCTACACAATCAACTTTGCAGCAGTGTTGAATCACTGTACCGGCATTTTCAAACACAGCACTGCCTTGGCTTAGAAGACAGCTTGTCTGCAGAGCTTGCAAATGGGAATACACTCAACTTTCCAAATTTCTGAAACACAATTAGAAGTGACGTCACAATCGATGCGACCAATCATACCAGGGGCGTCTTACACCAGATGAAATTACTTCAAATCTGTGTGACCAGTGGATGAGTCATCAATAACCGTGACCAGATATCCGTTCAGTGATTCTCCTTCTGATGTCAAGAGAAGAGTCCAGACTTAACACACGTATGGGAGCCGTGGTACACCGCTGCAGGATGAGCAACCTGTCCCAAGCTCCCTCAATGATGTCCCGGATGAGACTTCTTTTAACTCAGAGCCTCCAGGGCCATCCCAAGAGAGGCAGTTGCGCCTCCAAGCCCTTTTTCAGATGGTGTCTTTGTGATGTCTTGTCAGAGCTCACAAACTCTGACGTTGTGGACTCTGACGACTATGAGATGACTTTTGCTTTGCAATTTACATGGGTAGCAAATGGGGCGATGATTGCCGTTGTCCTGGATTTGCTACAGAACCGTGCCAATAACTGTCGTGGAGCATCGGCAGCGATGATCGTTGAGCGGTTCAAGTCATAGTGAGCAAGGACATCTGGGGAAACAAGTATGTCCTTTACTTACTGAAATGGTTGCGCCTTGCCCCAATACCATGCACTGTTTTTATGGAGCAGCTGTCAAAGTGATTCATTGGCATCAGCAAGTCCATTTATGAATTTTCCCAGCTGGTTCACCATACTCATAAACCATTGCAGATCTTTGACGGGTGTTGGTGTAGGGAACACCGCAATGGCTGCATGCATCTTCCATGTATCAGTGTGAATGCCTGTGGCGGTTGCAGATCTTATTAAATCCACAAAGTGTGTCTCATGCAGTATGTTCAATCCATTAACTCCGTAATGTTCACTCTGTTTTTACACTTTATTCCATTGTTGCTGCTCGCTTGATTTATTCTGGCTCTTAGATTCACAGAATCGCAAAGTTCAAAGGTCATGGATCATAGGACACAAACATTGCACCTGACAATGCAGTCAGGTGAAGTTGCAACATATGGGCAATCAATATAGACTGTAATGTAGTTTCATCTTCTCTACGACGAAACCATTGTACTTCTGACAAACTCACACGATCACGCATTTCTGCTAATCTACATGTATGTTATTTATTTCTACAGTAGTGCTAGCAGATGTGATACATAGCAAGTCAGAATCTCGATGACCCTCTTCCCCTCTCTCTCCTCCTCTTTATAACCCATCTTATTCCCATCTAATTTCTAAGAAAATATCTGTGCATTTCCAGAAGGTTAGTGTGGTCAGTCCAGGATATAGTGTGGTCAGCCCCGACCACTTCGAGTCCCTTAGATTTCATTTTTATGACCTTCTCATGAGCCCAGTTTCCTCCTTAATTGACCACAACCTTCCCCTACATACTTGTGGTTCCTTACTCAGAATTGTTTCATGGGCACCAGTCATTTCGATGGCGTGGGTTCGTATCCCACCGCTGCCACCATATAATGTAGTTTCATCTTCTCTACGACGAAACCGTTGTACTTCTGACAAACTCACACGATCACGCATTTCTGCTAATCTACATGTATCTTATTTCCTTACTCAGAATTGCTTCATGACGTAGACCCACAGACCCGTCTCTTCACAGGTAACCCCCTTGTGTTTGTAATGAAGCCTGTGCCATGCTACATATTGTTTTCTTGCTAAAGTTTCCTGCATTCTACCCCAGGTAAGAGCAGATGAGTGTGGCGAATCATAGTAGCCCATGGCTCTAGCTATTTGGGAATGGCCCGACAAACCGTTTTCCTTAATGGATGCAGCACAATCTCCTGCTACACTTGCCGTTATTCGTCCTATACGATGCTGTGTCCACAAGGTAGAGGATGTTTGTTTCTTTGCATCATTCGCCAACAGTATCTGCTGGTGATGATTCAGTTCAAGTCCCTTGATGACATCATCGGCACTGGCCTTTTGATATGCTTCTTTGACAGTTAAGACTCCTTGAGTTGTTTCAAACTCTTCCTCCTTTACATATGCATTAATGATTAAGGATGTGCAGGGTCTGCCTGTTGTTTGACATACATGAGCATTCCACAATTACCATTGGTAATATCTGCCAGTGCATCAATGTTAAAGGCAGATACTGGCCTTTTGTTTCGATGTGCCAAAACTCTGGGCTCGAATTCTGACCTGTAAATTCTAGTGCTTCTGGACGTTTGCCGAGTTACATCGGCCTTTACACCAACACGCTTGATGCTCTTGGCAAACTGGCAATCATGGACAGATTGTCCCTTCTTCGGACCTTGGCCCCATGCTTGCTGCTGAGATGTACATGATGAATTCTTCCCCTGTTCCACTGCTTCAACGACTGCAAACAAGAGGCCACTGATGTGTTTGCACGTTGCTTGGATTCTGAATAAAAAAGTCAGGTGTATTTGTCACCAGTATGATGGTTATGTGGGGTGCAAACAGTCGATCTACACTGTTTATCAGTGTTATGAGAAATTTAAGACTTTACTTCCCTTTTTGAAGAAAGATTTCCATGGGCAGATGACACTAATGTGGGCAGATGACACTGGCTTGAAGGGCCCTCCTCCTATCCTTCCAAAAGTGTCTCCGGACGTGGTAGATGAATTAGCCCATGAAAATCTGGCGTAAATAATCGCCTTAAATCACACCTTTAAGTAAAGACAATTATGTTAGATTCAACAAGAATTAAACTCTATTTACCTCTATCTTCGGTTCCTTGGGTTTGAGTAGTTATCGAATTATACTGGCAAAAGTACGGATCAGAAGTTTAGCACAAGAAATGTGACGACAAAAAGGACCATGTCAGTGGTGGAAATGAAGAGCGCCCTCTTGAGACAGGGCTCAGACATTCTCATCGGCAGTTACAATGCCCATTTATCGTGTGGGCAAGGAACATTAGTGTATTCTTCGAGAACTCACATCTGTTGTTGAGTGTCTCACTCTGCCATCATGCTCATCTTGAGATTATCCGTGTATTAGTCACTGGTGAGATCACTCCCTGTTTGAGCAGTTCTGCTTTGACTTCAGGAAGTAGTGGTGTGGAATTTTTCTTGGTGAGTGTAGGCTCACGAGCTTGATGTTTGGGCAAAGTGTGATGTGGTGGTACTCTATCAAAAGTTTGTCCAAACATGAAAAGAGGGCCGGAAATTCAGCATGGAAATTGACTGGTGCTGAACTCGATCTGTCCTCATTGATCCATTTTTTAATGAGGCCTAGTTCGACACATGCTGTCTCGCTGAGTAAGGAACAGTGCTGATTTTGGATGGTGTACAATTGTTCCTTGATTTGTCCCTGTTGATACTGTAGTGTGGCGTCTATCATGCCAAATACAGGGAGATGGGTGCCATCTGGCCCTTGGAGGGATTGGTCTGTGGCGTTTAGTTAAAGTCCCACAAGCCAAGGCCCAGTGTCGCTGGCAACAGAAATATTTGCTCCATTGTCTAATTTGATGTGAGTTTGTGACTGTTGGCAGAAATATCAGTAGTCCAATAGTCCTTATTGGCGATGACTTCACCAAGGAATGTCCGATTCATCTTGTCAGTCCTTGTTTTAGAAACCTTTGCATGATAATGGAGGCATTCTTTTGAGGTCATGACAGAAGGAGGGCATCATCTGTGCATGCATGTGGTATGGAATCACAACTTTAGCCGCATAAAGGAAGAAACACGGTTGTGCTAAACAATACTGCAGCTTGGAACACACTTCTCCTCTGTGTCAAAGAACTTGTCAACATCAGGCGCATTCTCAGGCCAAATAGGTTTGCCAAATTTTTGTGGCATCTCCATAGTCTGACCGGTATGAACCCTGCAAAAGTATAGTTCTGGGCTGCTTGGTAAACAGTGCTTGTACCCTAACATCCTTGTAATACTTGGTATTTGGTAGTTATCCTCCTAGAACATCCTCTTGGGATTTAACTAGAACTTCCTTATCCTGCTACTCCGATTTCCTAAAATTTCACTTGCAATTCCAGAGTTTCTCTGTGTGTATTTTTTATTTCAACGATCCCACTTTTCACTAACAATTCAAATGTCTAGATATTTTGGAAGATGCTGCCAACATTTAGGCTGTCAAGAAACATGGAATTCTAGCTATTTTTTTCAGATTTTTGGTCTCTTCCCTCTCGTCTGACATTCATCGATGAGCAGTTCATCTTTCTCATGCGGTGGGGCAGCATGTGAACTTTTGATTGACGCACAGGTGTTAATTGGTGGTGCATACAACACGATCAGCAGATTTCTTATATTATTACTGTTTTCCACTACATGTATTCTTTTTGTGCCGTTTGAGTTTAAAAAAAATTTTTTTTCATTTTTTAAATGTACGTTTGCCTGCCTGTGTAACACTATTTTGGCCTGTGGGTAATCACAGCAAGGACCACGTGGAGTTTCACACATGTACTGTCAATCATGGTCCTTTGGTGTGTAATGCACATTGTGCCTGAAAATCACTTAATTTGTGTGACTGAAGCTTGTCTTAGCTTAACGTGTTCATATTATATGGACACTTAACTTATTGAGTAAGATGGTGAGGTGGATATATTGGTAGATACACAGTGGATATATTTGTAGATACACA